CAGGATGCTCTCTGGGCCTGCCTTGGTGCCCCCCCCCCCACCCTTTGGCTCTGGCAACGCTGGGTAAGTCTTCTAGTGGATTTATACAACGGCAATATATTCTGTTATCGTTTATCCCTTTCCCAATGGTTCCTAAAATGGTGACCTATTTTGACTGCTACCACACAGTGGGCAGATGTTTCCACAGAACCATTCATGACGATTCCAAGTTTCCTTTCTTGAGTGCTAACAGTGAAGTCAGACCTCACCATTTTGTATATATAGTTAGTATTATAAAAAAAAAACAACAACAAAACACGAGTACTCCCTAGCACAACAAATGATTTTTAAATACACACACACACACACACACACAGAGGGCTCAACAATCGCGGCGAAAACCACTCCTAAGAATTTTGGTAAGTGATCAGGAGCCACACTTCCCTATTATATTAACGGAGGAGCTGTGGGGTCTGGGAGGGCGTCTGGGTGCAGGAGAGAGCTGTAGGCAGGGACTGGGGTGCAGGAGGGGCTGTGGGGTCTGGGAGGGAGTGTGGGCACAGGAGGGAGCTGTAGGCAGGGATTGGGGTGCAGGAGAAGCTATGGGGACTAGGAGGGAGTTTGGTTCCAGGAGGGGGTTCTGACCTGGGTTTGGGGTGCGGAAGGGGGTGCTGGGTGCAGGCTCTGGCCAGGAGGCACTTACCACAGGTGGCTCCTGGCCAGGGGCACAACAGGGCACTCAGGCAAGCAGGCTGCCTGCATGCCATAGTGGCCCCATGGGGCTCAAAGCTGCCACGCTGCTGGCAAGCATGTCTGTGCGCATCCCGAGGGGGTGAGAGGGAGGCAGCACATTCTCCCCCCCCCCCCCCCCCCCCCCCCCCCCCCAGCCTCTGGTGGGAGAGGCATAGCCGGGGCTGTGGCAGGCAGGCAGAGTGCCTGAGCACCCAGCTAGGCTGGGCTGTGGGCCATGGGAGCCCACAAGAAAACATTTGGCCTATGGGCTGCAAGTAGCCTGCCATATTTTGCCTAGGGATGCGAAAGTTAACTGGTAAACCTCACCCTTAACGAGTGAGGCTCACCAGTTACGGTTAACCTGTGGGGGAGGGGCTAAAGCAGAGGGTTTCTTCAGCTCCCCAGGGTCTGCCGCAAGTGAGGGACACTCCAGCCCGGCCGGAGCAGCCCCCACCTCCCTGGCCCTGGCGGGTAGGGGGACAGCTCTAGCCTGGCCCCCGTTTAAACGGGATTTTACATCCCTAATTTTGTCCACCTCTGCCTTACAGTAATATAAACATTAGAACAGCCAGACAGGGTCAGAGCAAAGGTCCATCTAGCCCAGTATCCTGTCTGCCGACAGTGGCCAATACCAGATGCTCCAGAGGGAGGGAACACAGACAAACAGAGCTAGGGACACCATTTCTACCCATCCTGGCTAACAGCCGTTAATGGACCTAACTTCCATGAATGTATCTATCTACTCTCCAGCTATTTTTTTGAACCCTGTTAAAGTCCTAGTCTTCACCACGTCCTCTGGCAAGGAGTTCCATAGGTTGACTGTGCACTGAGTGAAGAAAAACGTCTTTTTGTTTGTTTTAAACCTGCTGCCTATTAATTTCATTTGGTGACCCTCTAGTTCTTATATTGTGGGAATAAGTAAATAACTTTTCTTTGTTCACTTTTTCCACACCGGCCATGATTTTATAAAAGGTTTCTGGGGACAGTGTTTGTGAATTACTAGTGGAAAGGGTGCTATTTTTATAACTATCTAAACATACGTTGCCCAGTCATGTTTGCAACTCAAATATTGCAGCACCTAAAGATAAAACCAACACAAATGTGACGGTCTTCCACTATATCTAGTCCAATCTGAGAGAACTGATGGAAGTTAAGAGTATAGTTAGGGAACTAGATCAGTGTCGCATGGTTACTAAAACAAAGAAGGTCAAGTAAGGATAAGAAGGTACAAATAAGGATGTTCTTAACCTGAAAATCCTCTTAAACAATCTTTCCATGTAACGCAGCGCAACAAGGAGATCCGTGTCCTACCTAATTCGATAGGGATGTCCTCGTAAACCCAGACAGATCCACTGCCTGTTTTCAGCAATTTCATCTCCGTTTAATGGCTCGTATTCTGGACTTGTTCTTCTCAGGCACAACCTATGATCTGTATCTGCGGAGGACAAAACCAGATCTCTCATTTATAGAGGCCCCAGACTGTGCTATAAACATTGTGACCAACAGAAGGAGAGCAGTAAATGTTTATTTGACACAGGAAAAAGCTCATCAAAGTTGTTTTATACAAAAAAATAAGTTAAGCATGGAAATTCCTCTTTCTAGGGATACCGACATCTTTTAAAATCCCCTGCTGAGCCAATTAACATTCCCGATCACTGTCACTGGAAAAGATTAGAGAAACTGGGCATAACCTCAGCCAGCTCATGTATAAAAGTTACAATTTGATTTGTCTAAACTAGGATTCAAATGTACATTAAAATTCACTTTATTCCTAGAGTAGACGTCCCCAGTCTTCCCACTTTTAGCACAAACCAAGGGAGTAATTTTACCACTCTTCCAGAGAACTATTCTCATTATCACATACCCGGCTATTATCTCTTAGCAGTATGAGTTCATGTATCCTCCTCATTTGCTAGACATACAGCAGAATAACACCACGTTGTTGTACCTAGGTCCGCACTCAATTCCTTTGCTGTACCTAGGTCCGCACTCAATTCCTTTGCGATTATCACTGTGACTGGCAGAGTTAATGCAGCCAGCCAGGAAGCTCGGAGCCCTCAGAGGCACAACCCCCTCCTCCCGCCAAGGCGAACATTGAAAAACAGGACGGCCCGTCTTGCTTGAAGAGAGAGAACCCTACATGAGGCAGGTGCAAGTCACGGGGGTTAATGAAAGAGGGAAAAGCTCCCGTCTCTGCCCCACTCCTCTTGCAATCCAATCGACCTTAACGGCTGCTGGTCGTGGCATTTCCGCCGTGAGTCATCCAGCGCTTAACCATGGCAGTGTCCTGGTGAACCTTTCCAAAGTATGGCCCCAGGTAGGTACCCTAGCCACTGCCTGCGTCCCCCCCACACGCTCCCCGGACAAAGGAATTCTTTATGTCCCCATTCCACAGAGACACTGAATAAAAGACCAGCTGGAGCCTGACTCTGAAACCCAGCAAGAGGGGAGGGTCTTGGAGCCAGGGCTGCAACCTGAATAGGACTGCCTACTCCGCTATTATTCATCCCACAGCTTGAGCGCCATCAGTGGTCAGCTGACCTAGACTGGGCTGAGAAACTCACTTGGTGCTTCTGGTTTTTCTTGGCAGCACAGAGATACCGAAGTGACTTTGCCCAGGTCACCTGGGAAGCAGGGACCTGAACCCAGGTTAACCAAGACCCCCCAATTAGCTCCCTGGCCACCGGACAATCTTTCCCTCTTCTACTCAACAGGACTGCTTATAGGCTTTGCTGAATCAGGGCCAGAAATGCCACCACTACAACAACATTAAGTGCACAGATCCTTTTCTGGGCCGGAGGATGCTGGCTCACAGAAAAATCAGTCGGGGGCTGCACAAAAGTGATAAGCACTACAAAAAAAACCCAACAAAGCCCACATTCCCCTTGCACTCCAGAACCTCGGGGAGCAGACTAGTATATTTTGTGGGCCCCCTATGCTCTGGGATCCAGCCAAAAATGAGGGGTTCAGTCTGTGGGAGGGAGCTGCCATGAAAGAGGTTTTGGGTGTAGATTGTGAATGGGAAGGAGGGTGCAGGAGTGGGCTGGGGGTAGAAAGGCTGGACAGGAGGTAGGATGCAGGAGCAGAGTGGAGGTGCAGGGATGGGGCAATAGGGAGCCGCAGGGCTGGAGCACCATCTCCCCAAAGCTAAGGGGAACTCCACGCCTCAGGGGCCGGATCCAGGCAAGCCACGGGCCGGATCCAGGCCCTGGGCCATAGGATCCCCACCTCTGGCCTATAAACATCAGACAAGACACTATAGAACATCAATAAGCCAAAGACCTTGTCGATTGCACACTCAAGACAACTCATTCCATCAGCGGGAGCTCTGGGGAAAGACAACAAAAATCCCTGTCAGGAAGAGACGGTTCTCTCTCTCTCCTGCTTGAATTTGGAGAGAAAAAGATTTCTAAGCAGAAGATCTCTGGTAACGCGTCTCTGAAACGCAGGATACATACAGCCAACACATGAATTCGCCTCCAACTGCAAGCCCCCATTCCTGGAAATTCTCCTTTCTCTTCAGAATTCATTGTGCCCCAGGCAATTTCTACTGGGGATGTAATAGTGTAGTCGATTAAGCGATAAGCAAAAGCTCCTAGGTTGATGCTATTGACTACACGCATTCCACCCCCCACCCCACCCCCGCCAGTACATTTCTTAGCAGGCTGGTCAGCAGCCTGGCTCAGTCCCGACTTGTGTCATGTCTGGGACCTATCCTTGCTGTGGCTCTGCATTTAAAGTGTATTAGGAGTGAGGAGGGCAGCCAGCCTGGCTCAGTTCCAGCTTGCGCGGGGTTCGGGAATTCAGGCCCCCCTGGACAGGGGCTGCCACCACCCTGAACTGCTGCATCTGTATCAGAGGCAGAAGCACAGGGCAACAGGCAGTCAGTTTATGAGGGGAGTAGGTTTTTAAACTGGCTCCCCTTGTGGACCAGCTTCCAGCTGGTATCCCATGCTGCTGCCTCTGATACAGAGGCAGCAGCGCGGAGTAGCAGGGAGCTCCTTGATAGTTGGGCTGCAGCACACTGGCTGCTGGCCCCACCCCCGGGGACTAGAGAATAGTTGAGTAACCAATAAGAATTCATGAGGTTAATGGACTATTCAATTAACCGATATTTAACATCCCTAATTCCTACAGACTTGTATCCCTAAAGACAAAACCCAGGAATTGTGCCAACAGCTGGTAACCCAGGCAAATTCCTTTGATGTCAGAATGCCTATAAAACACTGGTCCTTGACCTGTGCACTCCAATAAAATAAACATAACTTAACAAAATTATCACAGCCTAGTCCGGTGAATGCTCTTTCATTCTGCCCTTGGAGCTTTACCACTAACCTTATCTGCTGCCAATTTTAGCAGCTAGCAGAAGGAACTTTTACCCAGCTGTAAGATATGCTTATGCCAACTCCCAACTATAGTGCAGTTATAATACAAGCTCAAAACACACAAGGTGAACCCCCCGGATGGTACAAAGAAAATTTTTAATTTAAAAATTCAGCCTCAAGGCAGAAGCTCATGCCTCAAACATCTGTGGCAAAGACTTCTCTTTACCGTTGTGGCAACTACAAAGTTAGATGTGCAACCACCCATGCAATGCACTATATCCAATTCTTCCCTCTGGTTATCTCTTCTCTAAATCTTCTTTTAATCAGATTATCTTCCTTAAAGTGCCAATTGCCATTTTAAAAAATAGCTATCAGAATAGATAACAAAGAAGTTACAAACACCCAAACAAAAACCTATTAAACACATCACAGGAACACAATAAAAACAGGCAAGATACTCAGCTTTTGAGAGAAAATCTGTTTCACTTTTCTGTGACAGTAGGAAATAGAAATTCAAATTGTCACTATTTTAAAGACCTGCTTACTCTAGTAAAACCCTTATCTAAGTTGCCCTCTCATGCAAAAAGAATGACACCACCACAGTGGAAAACTAGTGTTTTAAAGGAGTCTAAATAGGTTGATTTGATTTTCAAGGCAAAAACTTTTCAAAGCACGGATATAGTTTTCAAAATTGCCTAAATCAGCTCAAGTCCCATTTTCAAAATTGAAGCAATTGGGAGGTTAATGAGACTCTAGTACTTGTGAAGACCATAATTCCAATCTCTAGAAATGAAATTGTTAAATTCATATTTAGGCACCTAAACAGAAGTGTGGACCATTTCCCTAGGATGCTGGATTTAAACAGACTAACTTTTAGACATCCAGGTAGATTCTTTTGAATGAGGCAACTTTCAAAAACCTGTTAAGCAGAAGTCCCTGAAATGTTCCTCTTTGGCTCTCAGCCATCTAATCAAGGTAAGTAGGCTTTCAAGCTAAGAAAATATGAAGTCAGCAAGCTAAAATCTTCATTCTTTCTTAAAAAGCAATTCAAAGCTCGTGTGGATTTAAAACATGGGCTTGTTTCTGATTCTAAACTTTAAAAAAAGCTACTCAACCAAATTACTTCTGACTTGGTTTTAGGCTCTCTCAATGAGATCTACCAAATAAACCAAGTCTGAAGCCCAATCTGTACAAAGACATTCTAGTTTGAATCATAGTAACAGGCATATTTGTAATGACAGTGATCTGTATTTTTTAAAAAAAGAGACACAAGGTAGGTGAAGTAACATCTTCTATTGGCGCAGCTGCTGCTGTTGCAGAAAGAGAAAAGCTTTCAAGCTCCACAGAGCCAAAAAAGACCTCTGTAGTGCTTGAAAGCTTGGTCCTTTTCACTAGGAGAAGATGGTCCCCAGAGTTCCCCCTTACTCACTTTCTCTCTGTCATATTCTGGGACCAACAGGACTACAAAAATACTGCTAAACTAGATTTGAAAAACCTACTATCAATACAAAGCAGACGGAGCTAACATGAAGATTTCAATTTTAATTGTGTTTCCTGATTTTGCAGCATTTGATTTTCAGCCCTACTGTTGCATTAATGTGAGAGATTGTTCAAATAATTATGCTTAAGGGTGGCAGTAAAATGTGCAGTAAAGCTTTTCCACGGTTTACATACTCTGTTACATCAACACCCAGCTCCCGCTTCCTTATTCCACTGAACTGATTTACATTTTTTACCTGCAAAATAACTAACTTCTTGGCACTGGTTGAAACTTTGCAACCCAAAAGTTCCAAGAAAACCAAACCTCTTCATGCACCAGTTTGTTCATCAATAGTCTGTTGTTCAAGGGACCTGACCCTGCAGACAGAGAGAGAAGCACTGTAATGACAGCAATATTTTTGGTTCCTATGTGAAAGCCCCTGTAAGGCTCAGCTGCCAAGTCTTGCAAAAGTTCCCAGGAAACTAGCTAGTTCGCAGAAAGGCTGCTCCTCAGCAAATTGCAAATGGAGCATTCCCTTGCTGACTTACCACCACCTTGAAAGGAAGGTCACATCAATCGTAGTGTCTGAGAAGCTGCAAAAATATTTTAGTAGCCAGCAAAGGGCCAAAT